TTTTAGCTATTTCAACTGGTCAGGAAACTGGGTTGTCAACCAGTTAAGACTCATAAAACCAGTGTACCTTCAGCCTGGCCAGGCTGTGAGACCACCACCTTAAACCAGCTTAGACCAGCTAAATATCTTAAGCTGGTTTAAGTTTTTCCTTTTTTTGTATATATAGCTCACTGAAGAATGTCACTGAATGGACTTCCTGAACTAATACGCAAAGGAAAACTTGAAATCGCATCATATGACCCCTTTAACTGAACTACTCAAAGTTTTGTGTATCACTCTCAGCTTTTTGATCATTAATGACTTTTAACGAATCGGTTGAGCGAAGATTCAATCAGTGACTCACTCACAAAAGAGACTCATTGACTGTAACAGTGTGACCTGTTGAAAGAGCAACAGAACGAATCAATTCAGACGATTCGAATCACTAAAAAGACTCGAAATCAACAGCACTAGCGGATAATCGTGTTTTATAATGGAAAAAAGTAAATAGATGTGCATGTTGGTCGATGCTGGACAAATATATGATACGCAATTCCCTCAGCACCGCTATTTAAGCGAAATACAGCAGTATAGCAGAAGACACAATGTTAACTGAACCACTCGCGATTTATCTTCAGTTCAGGATGTAACCGAGGCTATCATTAAAACCACTACAATACTACGAGCTTCATACAGGATTAAATACAAGATTTCATTTACCTGTGTGATCACAAATGCCCTCAATGCGATTAGACTGCGTTGCTGAAAGGCTCAACTAAAAACCGACAGCAAGGGAACTTTCCAGTGGATGCTCGTGCTCGTTTCCCTTCTGCCATTAACGTTCAATGTTTCTTAGAAATCAAACATCAAATGAGGGCAACAGGCGTTTCTCCCGCCTGTCATTACTTGGCTCACGCGTTGCAGTTAATCCGATCTCGATGGTTATCTACGCCACGGCGGGATCAGCTGTCATCCCAATGGAAGTCCCAGCAGGCTGATCCTCGACTCGCTCCATGCTGACATCAACATCAACACACCACCCTCTGCTGAGCGCAGGGCTCCCTTCAACATGCCTGAAGGAAATTCCTAATAACACAAGGTATTACGTGTCTGTTTACTCCTCAGTGTTTGAAATGAGGGAAATAGTCCAGTGAAATTACAGTCTGTACCGCTAATCTGAAACATATGGATATCGTGATATTTTACTGTTCTGTAGTGACACTACGTCATATAAAGGCAACCTGAAGTCAAACGGTTTGTTACATTATGTTACCATATATGTGATTTTTATAGATTTAAAAATCAAGGGTAGTGTTAGTTCTGGCAGGTCACGTTAGTCAAACTCGCATCAGCTGACCTTCAGCTGATCCCCATCCACCTATGGGATAGGACACCTATCTAAGTATTCATATATAAGGTCCCGCAGTAGTATCAGCAGTTTTCGCATTGCTCAATAGCTAATTACCCTTCTCCATCCCCAACTCCTCCTCTGTCAGTCAGGATTCAGCCTTCTGATTCTCCTTTGAATCAGACTAATTCTAAAATGTGTACATAACATTATTGAACTTTAACGATATCTGCAATACATTTATGTTGGCTCTGTTCTGTTTACCCTGGGGGGTTATCGCTGCTCTCCCTGCTCTCATCCATGCTAGGCTGCATGGATGCACTGGGAGTTCTTGCCCAGAATGGAACCATACCGCCAATCCAAACTGTATGCTAATTGTCAATCATCTTTGACGATAGTGGTCCTGACAGAAAATGATGTAGGTTGCAAAAACTTTTAAACAAAAGAACAAAAGATTATAAGTGTTTGTTCATCTCTGGGCACTCATGGCATGTAGACTTTTAGAAAAAGAAAAAACTAAAATACTTAAAACACACTTTTCACACTAACAAAACTAACTATTTGTCTACTAATAGTGAACATACATGCACCACATTAGAATTTTTGTAATTTTTAAGGAAGTTATTTGGTAACAAAAACAATAAACAAATAAACTTGAAACTTGAAAAACTTTAATAGGGCAAAATTGCTTGTTGCATTGTAAATGACTGTTGTTTGGGGAAAATTATTTTCACAAATATAGAAATGGTTTGTGTATATTGTATTCTATGTATATTAAATTATTATTTAATTGTACAAATTCATATTTTTGTGATTGACTTTTATATTTTAATATTAAATGTCGGGGGACATGGGTATGCGACAAAAAGCATGTAAGTAGAGATAAAACGTTTCATATGACCATGATATAACAAAAAGAAAAAATGTTTTACCAGTTTTAACAGAATCAGTCCTTGGAACGTAAAAGTACCCAAAGTTGAAGAAACACCATTATATTGTCTAATGTACAGATACAGAGGCTAATACTGTCTGGATATGGTTTCAAGGCTCTCTGAGATATTCTGCGTTTGATGATAGTTAGTGGAAAGTACAGCTTTATTGCTTTGTGTAGACTCATCATTGTCAATATTATTGCAACAAGGGAACATAATGTTTTAAGACACTGCCAGAAGTAAGGTTATTTTTGCTGTGTCTGCATTAACCACAACTTCCTTATATATAGAAACAATGAAAGGAAGCTGCCTGTGAGGCCCTTGTTTGTAAGGTAGTGCAGAATGGTTACATCAGATTTTAACCTCTAAATAACACACATCATTCTGTGCACAATCCAGTCATCACCAGTACCTGTCACTTGACTCGGATTCCCTGATAAATTTGGTTACAAAACTCAAGCCAAGTGGGCATCCACTAGACTTGAGTGAGGGCAGATAATAACAGTTGCTGTGTGGGTTTCATTGTCATATTCAGCTCTGTGTTGTAAGCTGCTCTGACACAACATGCCCACGGCATCTATGATAAAATGCCAGATCTGTCATATCCTGGAAGCATGAAAAGCTTCTGTTGTCCTCTCCTACTGTGACATTTTCATTGAGAAAGACCATGTGAGCTTGAGCTTTTTGTTGCCGTTCATTCTTCTTTTTGTTGCCGTTCATTCTTGTTGATGTATTCATGAACTTTGTGTAACTGAAGCATTCTCATTTACAATGAAATCCTGTCACTTCATTTTGCAACTGTTCGGACAGTTTGTTTATGGGCTGTAAATGACAGATTGTTGATCTGATTTGACGCAAACCACTTATAGGTGGTATGAATCATCATTTTTCTTGGCACACTTTTTACACAAAATTTCCTTCATTTTCAATCTCATTGACGGCGCAGCTCTCCAAACATCATTATTCTTGGTTATGAGAGATTAAGTGTTGCTCATATTTTCCAGCTGCAGCGATTTCTAATCCTTGTGTGCAACAATACATTTTCCTTTTTCCTGTTATTCAGAGGGCACTGTTATTCTGTTTGAGTTGATAACCGGGAAGAACACAGGAAAATATTAGCACTGTTTACTTTAAAAACAATAAATAATATTTGCATCTAAAGCAAATGTATTTTTGATGAATCATTTTATTGAAGCATTCACTGCAGAATTAAAAACGCGGAATGCTCGTTATTATATATTCAGTCTGTCTGTCTTGATGTTCTTGAACTGATTGTTCTTGCACTATTCAAGAAGATCATACTGAATACTAAAAAGTACATTTTCTGGTATTAAAATGCTAAATTATAGTTTTTTTTAAGCTGCAGGTTTTAAAAGAAATTGTTTGACGAGCATATTTTCTTTATTTTGATGTTTTTTCTGTTGAAACTGGAACCTAGATTAGATCATTTAGCTCCACATCTTTTGTTACTATGTTTTCTGGTATATTCAACACTTTTCAGCAGAGTAATGGCAGTGGCCTGACCGAACCGCTACAGCACTGACCCCTAGTGTTCCTGTAGCTTCAGTAAACATAAGTATGCTTACAGTTGAGGATTTAATAAGAATGAGATTCTTTCTTAAATATGCATTGAATACAGTATATTAATTGGAAAACACAAATGATAGCTGATTTAAAACACTTTATGCAAGCTTCTCAACAAGAGCTTGCATAATCGAGAGGAATGTAGACTTGCAGCTTGATGTTTTTTGAATAATCACGTCAAGATTTCAGCGTATTGAGAAAATTATTTCCAGATAGCAAAATATTGCTCTACACTCTTAAAAATAAAGGTGCTTCAAAAGGTTCTTCACAGCGATGCCATAGAAGAACCATTTTTGGTTCCACAAAGAACCATTCAGTCAAAGGTTCTTTAAAGAACCATCTCTTTCTTACCTTTTTGTAATCTGAAGAAACTTTTTTCACCACAAAGAACCTTTTGTGAAACAGAAAGGTTCTTCAGATATTAAAGGTTCTTTATGGAACCATTTAGACAAAAAGGTTCTTCTATGGCATCGTGAAGCACCTTTATTTTTAAGAGTGTAGGGGGGAAAAATAAGGAATTCCAACATATCTAGGCAACTAGAAGCAAAAATGAAGACCTTCACTCTTTTATGGGGTCTTTGAATTATGGTGTCTGTTTGTGTACCATGTAAGTATGTCTGCATCTATCTATCTATCTATCTATCCATCCATCCATCCATCCAAAAGTATATGCGTACATATTATTCATATAGTTGCTCAGTCTATGAATGAGTCTGCCAATCAGCACTTTGCATATTTGTAGAAAAAGCACTAGTGTCTTTTATGTGATTTTTACACAGGGATGTACTCAAGTTAGCAGTTGACTATCTATACAACCTTACATATTGCTGTTCTAATTTAAGCAAAGAACTTCACCTGAACTGTTTAATAGTTTTCACTTCAAATTAGTTTAGGAAGTACATAGATCATTTCAATAAATCTGTACTTTGCATGCAAATGGTGAACTAAAATATGCCTCGTTTAATGAAACATCACATATTCACATTTAAAGATCATATGAAGAACATATAAATGCATGTGATTTTTTTAATCACAGTAAGTGCGTATTCAGTAGCTTACTGAAAATTTAAATACATTTTTATAAATATTCACACATGCTCATTACATTAAACATGTTCATATTCCTAAAAACAAATTGTCCAAAGAGTAGATAAAAAGACCAACCTTATTTAAATGATAAAATGTTTATTTTATTATTATTATCCACATGGGGTAATTAATCTTATACTGATCAACCTCTTATCATATTCAGACAAAATTTGCAGTAACAATCCATCTAAATGTCTCTATTAATCTATGATTAATTTCTCATAGAAAGAGAAATATCTTTTGTTTACAGTACATTACCTACCTTTTCCCATTTCCTTTATAATCCAAGCCATTATAAGACATACGTATATATTTATGCTCCACAAGAACATGAGAGCAATATATGGATTTCACAATGAAAACACTTTTATGCATTTATACAAACAACAGAGAATCTACATGACATAGTAAAGTGAGGTTCGTGTGCACACAGTGAGTGTCCATGTTTCCCTTTGTTGTTCTTCAGTTTAAAAAGCAACGACTTGTTTTGTCTATGTTCTTGCTCTTTATCTTGGGCCAAGGTTGGTCAGAGGACTTTTAGATGTTGTTGAACCTTTCTTGTTGGGATAAGCTTTAACGTTCAAGTTTGTCCCTTTTGGTTGAACTTTCAAATAGAAATCCAACTGGAAAGAACAAGAAAAATGTTAGGCTATTACTGAAAAAAGTCAGTAATCAATAGTGTATTTGTGATGTTGTTCATCACCTGTACAGCTTCAGCCGGTCCCACTGTTACTGTTTTGGTAAAAGGTTGGTAACCTAGTGCAGAAGCCGTCACTGTGTAGGTACCCGGCAAGAGCAGACGGAAATAGTCTCCATCCGTTCCTGAAACAGCATCAGATACATTAAATGAAGTATTAAAGCTCTCTACAAAATCAGCTTTTAAATGTAGAACAACTCTCACCGCTGGTGATATCATGGTTTATGCCAGCCACAGAGATCACAGCATTGCTAATTGGGTTGTTGTTCTCATCATAGACCATGCCTTTAATCCCATGGTGCACCTGGAGGTCAAGAGACAGTCCAGATATATGTCAATTAAGCTTTTGGTTGTGGTCAGGCACTGCACTCAAAGTGGTAAACCGATTCCATCCATTACTTTAAATGTGCTGCTGAGAGGTGTAGAGTTACTTGAACTCACAACAAGACCCCTGAAGCACTATATCAATTTCACATTATAAGTATCCAGGGACAGGTTCATTATCTGTTAGTGCCATGGAGAACCAATTTGTCCTTGTTACTTGTATTTGCTAGAATACTGTCCTCCTTTTTCTTGTTTGCTTTTGAATACAAAGCTCTTTCTTAATTTGTTTAATGTTTTGAATGCAGAAATGGAGTTTGAACTTCTACTTGTTTCATTACAGGCAGACATAGCTGAGACTAGAGCAGTGAAACAGTCAAATGTGAGAAGAGTTCCTCACCTGCTCCATGTAGGACACCAAAGCCTCTCTGTTGGCCAGCCACTCATTGGTGAGAGCCGTCGCTGGAGGAAACTTATCACAGCTGAGCTCCAGAGTAATCTCAAAGCAGTTTGTGTGGAGGTAGTTGAAGTCTTGCATCCCTTCAGAGACATTGAGCGATAATTCTTCTTAAAGGGTTAGTTCACCCAAAAATGAAAATTAGGCTGCTTTACATCCTAGGTGTATATGACTTTCTTCTTTCAGACGAATCCAGTTGGAGTTATATAAAAAATGGGGGTTGAACAAAGGCCTCCTGTAGCGAATCGATGCGTTTTTGTAAAACAAATATCCATATTCAAAACATAATAATCACTTTAATCTAGCTTGCGCCAACAGTTGTACACAGAAGCAGTTCCGGGAGCATGACGTATAATAGGCTTGTTGCGATAGACGGTGCTGACGGTGATACCGGTGTTAAGCCGCAGCACCGGTTATGTCACTTGCCCACCGCAGCACCGATCCCCACCGTCATTTTTATTTTTTATAGTAATAAAAATAATTTAGTTCAGTAAAAGAACAGACACTACAATTAAAAACTGAACGCGGCTGCTCAATGCAGCGTGCCGAACGACAGTCACATCACAGATCAGATTTCATTTATCCAGTGAGGAGAGTGAGTCGAGCTGACTGACAAGAAGAGTGAGGTGAGGTGAGACAGACAAGACGATGGCGGATGATTTAGTTTCGAAACGAGATGCAAAAGCGCCTGTTTGGCAATATTTTGGATTTTGAAAAGCCTGTTGACTTTTGCCGTTTATCTAAGGTGATTTTGGAAGTTTTTTTAAACATTCGTTTCTTATTTAATTGGTTCCACATTGTTTGCTGATTTTTACTTTATTTAAACTTTGTGCCATTTATTTATTTATTTTTACATCAAGGTGTATTCCGTGCCTCCAAGCTTTCTTACTTGTTTTGCTAATAAACGTTCTACATTTCTTATTTATTTGGTTATATATTATACATGTTTACTCATTTCCAGTTTTGTATACCAATTTAAACTTTATGGAAGTTATTTGTTATTTTATATTAGGCATAGC